TTTGTGACAACACGGATGTACCTTGAGGGTATTGTGCTAACAAAGTAAGTCAGAGGGAGAAAGTCAAATACTGTATGCTCTCACTCATAAACAGAAGAAAAAAACAACAACAAACAGTGACACATAAACAGAGATTGGAGTGCTGATTACCACAGGGGATGGGGTAGGGAGGAGGGCAAAGTGGTGATGGATTGTAACTATTCTTTGGGTGGTGAACATGATGTAATCTACACAGAAATTGAAATATAATGATGTACACCTGAAATTTATATAATAAACCAATGTTACCATAATAAAAAAAAGGGGGAGGCAGATGTCCTCTTACAGGCAGCATTGCTTGTGTAATTGGAAAAAAGCACAGAACTGAGTCTATTCTTCTACGAGTGAGGAGGAGTTGAAGAGGTCTTTTCCCCAACCGTCATTGTAGTTTCTCCAAGGGGTCAGTCTCTATCTTGCCTGATATCAAGTACTCCTCACTGGTGAAATTCTCTCACAGTCAAAACCATTCCATAAAGAATGGGAAAGACAGCTGCTTCATCCAATGCAAAGACAATACAGCAAACTTACACGAAACATGAAGAATCAAGTAAACACAACACAATCAAAGGAAGAAAACAAACCTCCCATTACCAACCTGAAAAAAAAAGGATATCCATGAATTGCCTGGCAAAGATAAAAAGTTACCAACTTCGTGGAGCTCAGTGAGTAACAGGAGAACACAGACAACTAAATAAAATCAGGAAAATAATACATGAACAAGAGAGAAGTTCAACAAAGTGATAGAAACCATTTAAAAAACAGACAGAAATACTAGAACTGAAGAATTCTGAAGTGAAAAATTCACTGGAGGGATTCAGAAGCATATGTGATCAAGCAGAAGAAAAAAACCCGTGAACTTGAATACAGGTGATTTGAAATTATCCGGTCAGAGAAGAAAAAAAAAAAAAAAAAAAGAATGTAAAGGAGTGAAGAAAGCCTAACTTAAGATTAACCATTGAGCAAACCATTGAGGAAAAAGCTAGAACACCTATTTAAAGAAATAGTAGCTGAAAACTTTGCAAATCTGTAGAGGGAAATCAACATCCAAATTCATGAAGCACAAAGGAATCCAAATCAATTGAATTCAAAGAGCTAAACACTGAGATACATTATAATCAACTTGTCAAAATTCAAAAACAAAGAGAGAATATTGTAAGCAGCAAGAAAATAGTGACATGTCACATACAATGGAGTCCTCATGACACTGTTGGCAGATTTATCAGCAGAAACTCTGCAGGCCAGGAAAGAGTGGGGTGATATATTCAAAGTGCTAAAAGAGAAAAACTTCCAAACAAGAACACTATACTTGGCCAAACTGTCCTTCATAAATGAAAGAGAGAGAAAGACTCTCCCAGACTAACAAGTTGAGAGAGTTCATCACCATTAGACCTGCCTTACAAGAAAATGCTAAAAGAAGTTCTTCAAACTGAAAAGCAAAGATGCTAAATAGCAGCATAAAAACATAAGAAAGTATAAAACAAATTGGTAAAGGTAACTATAGAGTCAAATGCAGAATGCTCTAATACTGTAATGGTGGTGAGTGAATCACTTGCAACTGTGGCGTAAAAGTTAAAAGACAACAGTAATTAAAATAACCATAACTATAATTGTGTGTTAGCAGATACACAGTATAGAAAGACATAGATTAGGCTGGCCCTGTGGCCGAGTGGTTGACTTCATGCACTCTGCTTCAGCGGCCCAGAGTTTTGCTGGTTCAGATCCTGGGTGCAAACATGGTACTTCTTGTCAGGCCATGCTGAGGTGGCATCCCACATAGCACAACCAGAGGCACTCACAACTAGAGTATACAACAATGTACGGGGCGGAGGGGCGGAGGGGGCGGAGGGGGCGGGAGGGGCGGGAGGGGGCGGGGGGGCCTTTGGGGAGAAGAAGACGGAAAAAAAAAAGATTGGCAAACAGATGTTAGCTCAGGTGCCAATCTTTAAAAAAAGCTATAAATTGTGACATCAGTAACACAAAGTATGGAGAGAAGGAAGAAGTAAAAATGTAGCATTTTTGTGTGCAGTTGAATTTAGGTTATAAGCTTAAAATAAACTGTTACTATAAGGTTTTTTATGCAAGCCTCAGTACACACAAATAATAAACCTGTGGTAGACACACAATATATAAAAGAACAAAAACATATCACTAAAGAAAAATAATCAAATCACAACAGAAGACAGCAAGAGAGGAAGCAAGGAAAAAAAGGAACAAAAAACACAAGACAATAATTTTTTAAACAGCAACAATAAGCCTTCACCTGTCATTAATTATGTTAAATGTAAATGGATTAAAATCCCCAATCAAAATGCATAGAATGACTGAATGGATAGCAAGATATAACCCTATGTTGCCTATAAGAGACTACTTTAACTAAAGCTGAAAAAGGACACATATAGACAGTAAGTGAAGAGGTGAAAAAAGATATTCCATGCAAATGGTAACCGAAACAGAGCAGGAGAGGCTATTCTTATATCATACAATATAGACTTTAAATAAAAAACTGTCTAAAGAGACAGAGAAGGTCATTATATAATGGTAAAGGGATCAGTTCATTGAGAGGGTATAACAATTGTAAATATACATGTGTCCAACATCAGAGCACTTAAATATATTAAGTAAATATCTACAGATATTAAGGGATAAATAGACAGCAATACCATAACAGTAGGCAAATTCAGTACCCTAGGTTCAACAAAGGATAGATCATCTTGACAGAAAATGACTAACATTCCACCAATAGTAGCAGAATACACATTCTTCTTAAGTTCAAACAGAATATTCTCCAAAATAAATCATATGCTAAGCCATAAAAGAAGTTTTAACAAATTTAATAAGATTGCAGTCTTTCAAGTATCTTTTCCAACCATATTGGTGTGAAACTAGAAATCAATAACAAGAGGAAAATGAGAAAATTCACAAATATGTGGAAATTAAACACACTCCTGAACAACCAATGGGTCAAAGAATAAATCAAAGGAGAAATCAAAATGTATCTCGAGAATAATGCCAATAGAAACACAACACCTCAAAATTACTAGAATGCAGCAGGAGCAGTTTTAAGAGGGAAATTTATATCAATAAATGCCTACTGTAAGAAAAAAGATGGGTGATGTCATCAAGGTGGCAACATAGGTTTTCCCTAACTACAGTCCCCCTCACAAGGTCAACTAGCAGCTATCTATAGAGAAGACACCATAGTGAAAATCCCAGAGCCCAGGGGTGAGGCTGATGCACCCCCCTGGACCACAGAAACTGAGAAGAACTGCCTTAGAAAGTAAGAGGAGCAGTTTCACTTTGACCCTCCCCAAGGCCAGCACAGTGCCACATCAATAGGATCCTCCAATGGAAAAAAAGGTGACAACCAAGTCCCCCAGCATTGTGAGACATTTCCCAGGAGGCCTACTTGGGTCTCAACTCATAGGGATCTCTGGGGGAATCTGAAGGGCTTGCACACTGGGCATAAGAGAGAGACCAGAAAGGGGCTGCGCTTACAGTAATCAGTGTTCAGATCTTGGCAGACTACATTCCTGCCTGAAGCAGTGCCCAAACAGAGATCCCAGCCAGGCAGTGTGCCCATCTGTAGAGACAAGCTGGTGGGACAGTTCAGCCAGAGATCTTGGTTAGCAGTTCTGCCTAATTTGGCTGTCAGCCAATGAGATACATCAGCCATGGAGCCCATTCTTCACCCCAACAGGGCAAGGAAGCCAGTTCACAGTTCTGCCCCACTAGGAAGCTTGGTCACAGGCACCCAGCAGCAGCAGAGGGTAACTTATGGCCTTCTTGGGCAAGGAAGTAAATTTGCAGTCCCACCCAACTGCAGAGCATAATGTCCAGTTCCACCCCACTGAGAAGTGTGGACACAGATTCCCAGCTGCCTTAGACCACATGCTACAGCCCATCCAAGCAGGGAAGAAAGTTCACCACTCCACCCAACTGCACAGGATACCCACATGTGCTACACTGCCAGGTATCCTAGCCACAAGCACCCAGCAGCTATGGAGCACATTCTATGGCCCACTCAGGCAGGGAAGCAAATTTGAAGCCTTGCCCAACCGCTAAGCATAGCCTTCAGTCCCATCCAACCAGAAAGCCAGTCTATCAATGAACAGAAGACTTGGAGCACACACTATGGCCTGCCTGGGCAGAGAAGCAAGTCAACAGTCCCACCCAATTGCTGAGCATAGCCTCCAGTATACATGTATGAAAACAACATGTTGTACACTTTAAATATATACAGTGTTTACCGGCAATTATATCTCGATAAAGCTTAGAAAAAAATTCTCTTTTAAAAATAGTACTTGAAGAATTAATCAAAGCAATTAGGGAAGGAAAAGAAATAAAAGCATCCAATTTTGATAGGAAGAAGTAAAACTGTCTATTTGCAGATAACATGATTCTGTATATAGAATCCCATAGAATACACAAAAAAATACCAGAGATAATAAATGAATTCAACAGAATCGCAGGTACAAGACCAATGCAAAAATCAGTTGTGTCCCTCTACATCAGCAATGAAATGCAAATATCAGTGTGTCTCTACACCAGCAATGAACATCTCAAAATGAAATTAAGGAAACAATTTCATTTACAATAGCATCCAAAAGGATAAATATCTAATAATCTATTTAACAAAGGAGGTGAAAGCCTTGTACACTGAAAACTAAAACCCATTGTGAAAAGAAATAAAGAATGCTTAAATAAATAGTAAAACATCCCATATGCAAGTATTGGAGAATCTAGGATTGTTGAGATGGCAATATTCCTAAAGCAATGTAACAATTTAATTTTATATCTTTTATAATGCTTAGAGTAGATTCATTCATAAATGAGTACTTAAAATGCTTGTCAGCATTACTTGCCTGACCCATTGAAACATCCCTGGTAGATACGGAACTATTTAATGAACCACAAAATGCACAAGCAATCAAATAACTGAGCTGCTGTCATTAACATTTTACCTGCTCCATTTTGATCAGGAAACAATCAATAAAGTCCCGAGGGTTGTTAATGTCCAGGGATTCTTGGTGTTCCTTTGTTTTCTCCAAAACATAATTGTTTATATATGCAATATTTTTAAGCAATTTGTTATGACTCCCTGGGAAATAATCTAAGAGAACAGGGAAATGATTGCAGAGCTAGAAGAGAAAATAATTTAGTTTATTAAATAAAAGATATTTATTGAAGACTTATATACCATATGCCAAGCCCTGGTTAGAAACTGTACTATGAATATTAATAAAATATAGTCTCTGTCTTGATAGACTTTTTTTTTTTTACAAATACATAATTTTCTATGCTGATAGATGCATTTGAGGGAGAAAATTCTGACCAGAGGATCAAAGATGAGGAATATTTCTTATACTCACACATCATGTTTATAGTATAAAAACATCTTTGTATCAATTCTTCCATTTTTTACATCAATTCTTCCCTACAATCTTGAAATATGAAATGGCATGAAATATTATGATTCACATTTTGTAGATGACAACAGAGTTTAAGGGAGTTTGGGCAACGTGATACAGAGCACAAAGCTAGTCCCTGCCATTTCGAATTCTGTCTAGAAGCCCCAAACTTAGAATCAGTATTTTATAACTGGGAGAGTCCTGAAGATGCCATGAAACATAACTCAACGTTTTATGTATAAAGTAACTGTGCACTGGAGCAGTTAAGTGACTTCTCCAAGATCACACCATTATCTTTTAGCAGAACGCAGAATATGTCAGCTCAGCACAGGAAAAATGTGATGCCTGTTTGTGATTCATGTACCATAAAACCAATCATTTTGTCATCCCCAAAACAACTACCTTGTCAGTTAGGATGCCAACAAGGCATTAAACATTCCTACCCTAGTCAGTGTTCCCTGGCAGCATCGGTGGCCCCCAAGCATGCTCCCTCTTTGATGGAGATATTCTCTTCCTTCTTCAATGCAGGTATTTCTGCCAACTAATGTGATGAAGTCGCTAAGAGTTGATGGAATGACAATACTTGTGTGTAATGGAAGCCTTTCAAGAAGGGTCTGAAAGTCCATTTAATGCCATGGGCATGCTTTAGGGAAGTTAGCAAAGTACTTTATAAAAACTGGGCCTTGGAGTTTAGTGGAAAAACCACTGGACAGGGTCAAGGGATTGAATTCCAGTTCCGTATTCTGGGTGTATGTTTTATTGTCTGTCATTAAAGGCTCAGCCATCTTTCTCACATATTCGCTCCATGATACTATACTCTGGAGAGAACTGTGGCCTTCAAACATTCACTTCACCGAAGATATTTGGACTTCTTGGAGAAAAAGAGCATAAGCAATTCCGCGGGAAGAAAAAATCTTGGCCTACCTGCATCCATGGAGAGCTACCGATCCTGACATTTTCATCAAATTTTTTCATTATATTTAGAAAATTCTGATCTGTATAATCAAAACGATTCTGGAAAATGATGGAGCAGATCACATTGCAAGGAGCACAGCCCAGGATAAAAGTGGGATCACAGGGTGAAGCTAGAGAATCAGAAACAATTTTAAAACACCATTAAACTGTACATATGAAACAATTTGTCTTTGAGATAACAGGTAAAGATAATTTTAGATACTCTAAAGCAATATCTTACCTACAAATTCCCTTAACATCAAAATATTCAACATGTATTAAATCAACACATCACCTTTACTTTAATCTGTGTAGACTATTTCAAATAGCTAGTTAAATTATGTTTTCTATTATTCAGTTCACATCCACTGCCTTTATTTGTACTCTTTACACCCAAGGTGCCTGTTAATTTGGAAGGAAAAAAGGAAAAAACATTTAAAGAGGACATTTTTTATATCATTTAGTAATTAAAGTTATTGGTACTGAATAGCATCTGCCTTCAAAGCCTGTAGAAAATTAAGCCCTGATATAGAAAAAGAGAGGTAGTTAGGGACCTTAAAAATGTTTTATGTATACTGAACAGTTGAAAGAATCATGTGTACAATTGGCAGAGGGGACGCTAAAGAGAGAGACCGTGGATGAATTCATGTATTTGAAAGAATAAGTGTAAAAAAACAGGGAACATTCTTGTTGTATAAGAAGAAAAACTAATACAAATGAACAATTATTTCAGATGGGTTTTTTTGTCTAAAATAAAAATAAAATTAGAAAATTTTATATCAACATAAACCCCAGGTAGTCAAACAAGAAAGGTAAACTGATAAAAGGAGTTCTTTTATTTTTTCATTTATATATTTTAAAAAGATCCCTCCTTAGGAAGTAAATGTTCATCACTTCCAACAACCATCAAAAATTAATTTATTGGGACAAAGCTGGCTACGCAGACTTCTGTGATATTATTCTGTACAGCCATCAACAGAATAGTATGTTTTAATAAATTTTAAATTTTGCCCATCATTTAAATCAATTTGGTAAATTTCTAGTAGAGAAATTACATTAGAGGAAAAGTTTTCTTTTTGGGGAGGGAATTTGTAAAATAGAATCGTTGCAAACGAATGATCAATGAAAGATCATTACCTGTAAAAAGATTGAAAATTCACAATTATAGCAATAATTAAGGATGACTTGAATCAAAAGTATTGAGGCAGAGTGACATCAGGAAGACGGTGGAATAGGAAGTCCTAGCCCCTGTTCTCCCATAGAAACACTGATTTAGTAATGAAATATGGACTAAAATTCTTTTATGATATTTTCAGAATCCAGTTAAGATGTTGTAATACCAGAGGTGAGGACAAAGCAGAGAGCAGCCACATTAAAACTGGTAAGAAGAACAATTTCACTTTACCTGCATCAACACCTCCCTCAAGCTGGCACAACTAAATGCTGGCAGAAAATGCCCCAGGTTGTGATCACTCCATCACAGGAAAGAGAAGGATGGAGCACGCATCCATGTACCAGGCTGAGGGACTGGTGTCTGTCTTACCTCACTTAGAGTGCTGACAGGACTGGCAGAGTGTTGATGCCTCAGACCACTGAGAATAAAGGAGAGCAGGGGGTAGTGGCTTGCTGTGGCCAGCATGGCTTGGCGCAATCCACAGATGGTGCACAACTTAAGGCTCTTCATTCAAGGGGAAAGGAAGAGGAGTGGAGCATGCATCTTGCATTCTGTCTTCTGGGAGGGCTACCCAAGGAACTATGTCTGTCTCTCCTGACTCAGGGCACTAAGGAGGAGCCTGCAAACTTTTGATGCTACTGAAACAAAGGAGAGTGGTGTAACTTGCTTCTCTCAAACCAGGGAACTTGCAGTACTGCAGATGCACACAACAAAGAGAATAAGAGAAGAGATTACTGGCTCCTCAGAAAGAAATTTTCAAGCCTCTCTAATTATGAAATTGTACACACAGCCCCAGAGAAGTTGCATCTACTAAAAGAAAAAGGCTTCACAAGCCCCCAGAATCTCTAGCCAGGATAACTGGTGAGGGTTTTTCCATATACAAAGCCAATTCATAAAGACTTGGAGAAGTGGTTATTTTTTAAAATTCATGAATCCCAACACAAAGTTATGAAACACATAAAGAAGCAGGAAACATGTCTCAAACAAAGGTATAAAATCAGTCTCCAGAAACCAATCCCAAAGAAATGGAGTCATATCAGTTATCTGAACAAAGAATTTTTTAAAAATTGATAAAGATGCTTTATGAGAACAAGAAAATGATGCATGAACAAAAGGAGCATATAAAGAAAGAGATCACATAAAAAAGAACCAAACAGCTGAAGGTTGGGGGGGGGGCTGAAGAACACAATAACTTACCTAAGAAAGCTTGCTAGAGACTTTCTACAGCAGACTTGATCAAATAGAAAAAGAATCAGTAAACTTAAGGACAGGTCATATGATATTATTCAATCAGAAGAACAAAAAGAAAAAGAAATGAAAAAGAATGAAGAAAGCCTAAGGGACTTATGGGACAACAAGAGGATCAATATATGCATTATGGAAGAAGAAAGAGAGAAAGGGGCAGAAACCTTATTTGCAGAAATAATGGCAGATAACTGCCCATATCTGGGGGAAAAAATAAACTCAGATTCAAGAAGACATTCTAAACAGGATGAACAAAAGAAATCCACACTAAGAATATTATAATCAAATTGTCAAAAGTCAAAGACAAAGAGAGAATTTTGACAGCAGCAAGACAAAAGTGATTTGTCACATATAAGAGGACCACCATAAGTCTATTAGTGGATTTCACCAGAAACCTTGCAGGCCAGAAAGGAGAGGAGTGATATATTCAAAGTGCAGAGAGAAAAAAGCTGCCAATCAAGAATACTATTTCTGGCAAAACAATTCTCCAAAAATGAAGGACAAAAAAAGACTTTCCTAGATAAACAAAAGCTGAGAGAATTCATCACCACTATATATGTTTTACAAGAAATATTAGAGACCTTAAAATTGAACCAATAGGACACTGAACAGCAACACAAAAGAATATGAAAGTATAAAGCTTGCTGATGTAGGTAAATATTTGGACAAAAACAGAGTACTGTAACAATGTAAAGGTGGTACATAAGCCACTATTAATTCTGGTATAGAAGTTAAAAGACCCCGTGGCCAAGTAGGTAAAGTTGCATGTGCTCCACTTTAGCATCCCAGGTTCACAGGTTCAGATCCTGGGCGCAGACCTACTCCACTCATCAGCTATGCTGTGGCAGCATCCCACTTACAAAGGAGGAAGATTGGCATAGGTGTTAGCTCAGGGTGAATCTTCCTCAACAAAAAAACCCAAAAAGTATGAAAAATAGGCTTAACTATTAAAATATGTTAAAGGATACACAATATAAAAAGATGTGATTTTATCAGATGGGAGAAATAGGAGTTTTCTATCACATTTCCCCTAAAGAATACCAATTTTCACAATCACCTATGAATGATAGTGTCTTTGTGGATGTCTGGGAGTCCAGCAGAGAAGTTCTAACACCATTGCAGGGGAAAAAAATCCATGATTGAATACACTAAAGAGGATAAAAGGAACACTTTCACTTTAGCTGCATCACTCCCACCACAAGTGGCACAGATCAGTGCCAGGAGTGATCTTCTTGGCCCATGATTTCTCCCATGGGAGAAAGGAAGAATGCGTGAGTGAAGGAAAAGCTTCCCCAGGTGTGCAGGATGCTGCCAAAGAGACCCACTTCTTTCTTGCCCCGTGTAGAAAACTAAGGTATGCTGCACATCTGAAGGGCAAGAAGTGTATGGGAGCACAGCAGTCAGGGCTTTCAGAGGGCATCACAGGATGCAAATCCCACTGACAGTTTCAAGGACTCCATCAAGAAGCCCATCTATGAGCAACTGGGGGTGTCTCACCTGCAGATTACCCCAATGGATCCATGGGCACTTCCAACACTCTGTGAACCTCACTGACACACGCGCACACACACACACACACACCCCTATGGCTGGCTCCCTATGCATGCCCCCAAGGGCAACGAGTGAAACTTTGTAGATAGTGAGCAACCAGCCTGACTGTGGGATTGGGAGAATCCATACAAACTTGAGCATTTAGTACAGCCCTAGAGAAAACAAGCAAATGGGAGATAGCCAGCACCTGGCCTGGCTTCACAGAATCAAGAGAAGGCATACAGTCTTAAGAGTTATCCCTCAAGAGAGAACAAAATTGTGCAGCAGGCATATTCGTAGAAAATGTCTGAGAAAGCCTCAGAATCCAAACAGGACTGACAGAAGATATTTCTCTCCCAAAGCCAGTCATTAAAGGCTAAGGAAGTTACTCCTTCAAATATGAATACAGCAAGCAAGACTTCAAGGAAAATGAAAAATTAAGGAAACGTGGCACTACTAAAGGAACACGATAATTTTCCAGAGTCTATCCAAAGAATTGGAGATTTGTGATCTCCCTGAAAAAGAATCCAAAATAATTTTCTTCAGGAAGCTCATTGAACTGCAAGAAAACACAAAAAGACAATTCAACAAAATCATAAAAACAATACATGAACAAAATGAGAAGTTTAACAGAGAGATAGAAATCATTTAAAAAAAACAAACAGGATTTCAGAGCTGAAGAATACAATGAATGAAAAGAAAAATATAGTAGAAGGCATCAAAAACATAATGGATCAAGCAGAAGGAAGAATCTGTGAGACAGCCAACAGGCACATGAAAAGATGTTCAACATGGCTAATTATTAGGGAAGTGCAAATCAAAACTACAATGAGATATCACCTCACACCTGTCAGATGTCAATTATTAAAAAGATAAGAAATAACAAGTGTTGGAGAGGATGTGGAGAAAAGGGAACTCTCATACACTGCTGGTGGGAATGCAAACTAGTACAGCCACTATGGAAAACAGTACAGAGATTTCTCAAAAAAATTAGAAATAGAAATATCACATGAAAGTACACTTCTGGGTATTTATCCAAAGAACATGAAAACACTAATTCAAAAAGATATATGATCTCCTATGTTCATTGCAGCATTATTCACAATAGCCAAGACTTGCAACCTGAGTGCCTATCAATGGATGAATGGATAAAGAAGATGTGGTATACATATGCAATGGAAT